TTTTTTTCCTGAGACGTGGTCTCTCTGTTGCCTGGCCTAGAGTGCAGTGGTGTCATCATAGCTCACTGTAACCTCAAAGTCCTGGGCTCAAGGGAGCCTCCCGCCTCTGCCTCCTGAGTAGCTGGGACTACAGGCTCCACCGTGCCCGGCTAATGTTTCTGTTTTTTGTAGAGACGAGGTCTCGCTCTTGCTCAGACTGGTCTCGAACTCCTGACCTCAAGCGATCCTCCCACCTCGGCCTCCTAGAGTGCTAGGATTACAGGCGTGAGCCACCACGCCCAGCCAACATTGCTTTGATTTAAAATGCAGTTTTGTATAGTTTTAAAATGCGAATTTTAAAATATGGGACATTGGCTAAAATTTTATGCTAGAGGTCTAACAGGTATACATATTGATACAATAAAATTTACTAAATTTATGTATAGCAAGGCTAATTTATGTTAAGTAGGAAAAATGTGACCCAATCTTAAAGTAGTATAAGAGGAAAATAAACCATACAAAACTGTTTGGCTGCTTCGTACTAATACAACCAGTTAGAACATGATGATGTTTGCTATTCTATATTAAGTTGTTTTCTCTTCATTTGAAATAATTTAAAATATTTTTCCTGAAAGTTAAATGATTCAAAATTGGCATTTAAAGAGTATTAAAGAAACAGTATCCTTTTATATGGTTTCCTTATACATAACCATGGTTATAACCAATTTTCCTTAATATGTGATCCAAAATGTAATTTGCTATCTGTGCTTTGATTTATTTCTAGCTGTTTGCTTAGATTGTACCTGATATATTTTATTTTTCCGTATTAAGAAATGTGTCAACATCAAGAGATGGTGAGTTCTTTAAAATTTAACAATAGACTCTGAACACTAATTTGTTGTAAACCTAACCAACACGAAAAAAAAAACATTTTTAGCAAGCAAATGTAATGTGTGCCTTTAAAATACAGCCCAATCATTCTAGATCAATAGTTAAATTACTGCTTCAATTAAATCAAATAGGACTTAGAATTTTTTTCTTCTGATATTACCTAAAAGAAGACTTTGTTCACCTAATTTTAAATTATACAAATAAATGCGCAAATCCTAAGTTAACGTGGATATTTTATGCTTTCAAGAGAAAGGCATTGATCAAGAAGACAAGTAGTAAAATCACCTCTTTCCTCACCTCTAAGATCTCTAGGCTGGTCAGACACTGACCATTATTAGCGTTTCAGGTTTCTTCCCTTTACTTTCATCAGACTGGGTTATTTACGTATCTTCAAGTAAAATGGCTGAGCTTTCAGGGCAATTCTTGTTGCTATTGACAACCAAAGCAGCCATGCAAGAAGAAAATGCCACGGAAGGGAAGAAAAAAAAAAAAAATAACCTTAACATTTCCTCCCCAAAGTTGGAGAGAAAAAGGAACAGTATGTAAGAAACAGGTAAGTAAAGACATATCCATTTTAAAACGGCCAGCCTTTCTTACTAATTGATTAAAAGTTTTAATATTTTTCAGATGTTTTGTCTAATACTCACTGAAATAAAAAGATACTGTCTCTAGGAATCAAAAAATTAATATTCTGAAAACAAAAAAATTGAAATAGAAGATACAGTGTCACAAAAGGTCTAAAATATTTTAATTTAGAATTTGGACTGTGGAAGACTAGCATAACTTCAATTATTGGTTAATATTTTTGTTATAACATGTTTTTAATAACAAAATGGTGACTAAAATACTACTATTTTAAACATGTCCTAGATTTTTTTGTTTGTTTCAGAAAAGCACTGAAAGTTGACTATGTGTAAGTCTCCGGGAATGTAACAAGTTGATAAATACCCAAGTCCAGCCTCCTTACAGAGAAAAGATCTGGAATTTCTTTTTTTGGACATTTGTTTTGCAGCTTTCTACGTCTTAAGGCAGAGAATAGCCAGGATAAGGTGCCAGCTCAAAGGTTAGACGAACATATTTCTTGAAATAATTTTGGCTAATCTATGTCTCGAAAGGCATAACTTCTAAATAATAACTTCACAAAGCTATAAACAAAACTTAACATGAGTTGTGCTTTTGAGTTGTTTTTTTTTTTTTTGGAAAACTATCACATGTCCCTTAGAGATGTGCTTATTCCGTACGTAATTATACTAAGTTAATTTTAATTCAGTTATTACATTAAACTTTTCCTTTTCAGTTCGTAATTCCTTTCTTTTATTTCGTGAATCTAATAAATTGACCTCCGTTCTAACCTAAAGCACAGTTTACCTTTTTAATACTTAGAGAAGCAAATATAAAAAACAAAGTCCACCAAATGAAATTACTAACACCAGCCTATCATTAACCTGAAAGAATTGTATTTCGTATTCATTAATTCTCCATGGAACGATTCAGGTAAGAAATATTTTCACTGTATAAAATATACAAGCTGTTATTACTATAATAGCACCGATGAGTATTCATGCTATTGTTTTGGTACATGAAGGTTTCCCTGTTTAAAATGTTTTTGGCAGCGAACAATGTCAATTAACAAATCACCCTGTGACACTTCAGTGAACAACTTTGGTGAAATATGTGACATTCTAATACTTAATGGAATTGGTGCCAAGAAGACAAAATATGCTCTAAACTGATTGATGTAAGATATTATCACGTGTCATAGAATTTTAAGTCAAGGTAGAGTTTTAATGAAAACATTTGGGAATAAAACTGATAGTGCTAGAAATAAGAGTTAAGGAATTCCTTTGTTCAGGGAGAGTTCAAAGAATCAAAGCGTATGTGTTGCGCAGTGACTAGCAGTTACGGGGTGATTCGCAGAGCTACGGCTGGGGGTCGGGGGACAGGGAAGGAGTGGGGTGTGTGCCTTGTCACCAGCCTATCTGGGATGGGGACTTGTCTCTGTGACTTACCTCCTATGGGAAACCAGACGTTTTAACTTTTCTGAGCGGCAATTTCCTCATCTTTAAACCTACTTTGCGAGATTCTTGCTGGCCATTGAGTGGAGTGCCTCCCATAGCACAGTTCTTGGTCGAGTTTGCTATTTTTGGTACTAATACAACTGGTTAGAACATCATGATGTTTGCTATTCTTTATATAGTTGTTTTATCTTTGTTTAAAATAAAGTATTTTTCCTGAAAGTTAAATGGTTCGAAATTGGCATTTTGAATCATCAATATA